AGCTACTCCCCAGCTGTTGAGTCCTAGTGGTGACCTCCTGCCCCTCACTGGTGCAGCCAGGGGTGGCGCCACCAGGCACCAGGAGCTTGACTGGGGGTCAGGAGAATCACTACTAACTGTGTGAGCGCCAGACGGCCCCGCTCCCGTCTCCTGGGGCCATAACACTTGGGTCCCTACACCCCCGTCTCTGGGCCCCCAACATACCTCCTCGCTCCCACAAAAATGTGTATGTTAATTATAAGACCGTGACAACCCCCAGCTGCTGTAAAAGAGAGGAGATGCAACACAGTTGTTTATTCAATCGTAAAGTTGCAACGGGTTGCCCCTGCTCGTCAAGGCGGGTTGCTTAAGAAAACATTCCTTCTTAAATGTTCGCTCTTGTTTCTAAATCAATTTATGGTAAGATTATTTGGATAGATTTGGATAATTTGCTGGCATCAGGCGTCATATCTCAGCTGGTGCATGGCGACACACACACACATAGATATGATAGAGCCCAGTAGGCTCAGGAATCTGTACACCTATTGATTGACAGTTGAGAGGCGGGACCAAAGAGCCAGAGCTCAACCCCCGCAAGCACAATTAGGTGAGTACACACACACACACACATTGTAGGGAAGGAGGAAAGCACAAGCTCTGGCTAGAGTCTGGAGTGCCCAGAAGCGCCCAGAGGTGCCTTAAGGTGCCCAAAGTGGGCGGAGGGGGTATCTGAGGTAAGAAGGGGTTTGGACCCCACTTTCGGTTCCATGCTGGTAGACTTCTCCACATCCCAGCCAAACCCTCCCCCCCCCCCCACTAACCCCCTTTCTTTAAGTCCAGACCTACACCCGTTCCCTTCACTCCCTCTCTTCCCCATCCACCTTGCCACCCCCTGTAGGTACGGGGAGATACAGAGTGTGGGCCTACGAGCTAGACAATGAGGGCACAAAGAGTACACTCTCACTATGTGAGTACAGAGGGGAGAAGCTCACATGGAGATACGTTAGGCGGACGCTCACGGAAGGAACATATTCACACGGGGCGGATACATACGGATTGAAAACACCCACCCACACACCCACACACACACACACACACACACACACACACACACACACACCCACACACACCCACATCCACACCCACACACACACACACACACACACACACACACACACACACACACACACACACACACCCACACCCACACACACACACACACACACACACACACACACACACACACACACACACACACACCCACACCCACCCACACCCACACCCACACACACACACACACACACACACACACACACACACACACACACACACACACACACACACAGCGGGCGGACACACGTGGGGTGGAGAAGCGGAGGGCGGCAGGTGGCCGAGGCCAGGAATGGTGGTCGATCATAACCGTAATAACTGAAGCCTGTGAACTACAAGTGGATATATATATATATATATATATATATATATATATATATATATATATATATATGTCCTCTAATTCTGCAAATTCGTCCTTATCAGTAATTTTTCTCATGGTAATTAGGCCATTGATTTATAGGTTCATTTTCGTAAATTTAGACATTTTGTAATTATAATTAACTGCAGTCAATTGCTTAAGTTTTGAATTATATGTAGAATACAGCATAAAATTCGGTGTGTGTGGGGGGGGGGATGTCCTGGTGTTGTAGTGTAGGGGGGGGTGTGTCCTGGTATGTAGTGTAGGGGGGGGTGTGTCCTGGTGTTGTAGTGTAGGGGGGTGTGTGTCCTGGTATGTAGTGTAGGGGGGATGTCCTGGTGTTGATGGTGGTGGCCGAAACATTTCAAGCAAACAACGACCAAGTGCCAGAACCGTTTGCACCCGACCATCCGGTGCCCCGCTAACATGCCAAGTTGTCAAAGTTCGAGGCCAGAAGGTAGAAGCCAGACCTTCTTGAGCGCGAAGCCTCCTTCAGACCGCAAGCTCCACACCCCCGTTACGGCCGCCCGCTCAACACACTCCAAATACTGACAGGTTGTATTTTGAAGAATTGCATTCGTTTAGCAGTTCAAACAGCATTGAAGATTAAGCAACTTGTTTTGTTTTTAGCACCATACAATTTATCCATCCTGGATAAATTTGTCGAAGCCTACCTGTGGCTAGTACCGTAGATCAATGGAGAAGCAGGGGGCCAGATTCACGCAAGCACTTACGCAAGCACTTACGAACGTGTACATCTTTCCTCAATCTTTGTCGGCTTTGGATATATTTATTAAACGGTTTACAAGCATGAAAACTCCCCATTCAACTGTTGTTATTGTTATAAACAGCCTCCTGGTGCTTCGGAGCTCATTAACTGTTTAATAATTGCAAACAAAGCCGCCAAAGATTGAGAAAAGATGTACACGTTCGTAAGTGCTTGCGTAAGTGCTTTCGTGAATCTGGCCCCAGACCCGTAGATTCCCTCGGCACTGGTAGCAGTGATATAGGGAACTGAAGGAATGTGGACTTACTTGCTATATTAAGGACAGTAATAGTTAATACGAGAATTAGTGACCACACAGTGTATTGCTACAGGTCAACACATCATGTCCAGACAGTGATGACCTGGCGTGCTGGGTATACAGGTAAACCCAACGTGCCCAGGCAGTGATGACCTGGGTCTCCAGGTCAACCCAACGTGCCCAGGCAGTGATGACCTGGGTCTCCAGGTCAACCCAACATGCCCAGGCAGTGATGACCTGGGTCTCCAGGTCAACCCAACGTGCCCAGGCAGTGATGACCTGGGTCTCCAGGTCAACACAATACCTGGTGTGCCTCACGCGCCGCTGCACCTGGCAGCTTTCTCTTCCACAATGCTCGTGTTTTTACGCTGACGAGATGACTCTGCGAGTTTTTATTACGCTCTCGGTGACAGAAAATTGATCTACTTATAATGGAGAAACGACTAAAACATGACAAAACTCTGCACAAATATTTGATGAACATTTTTCAGAAGAGGAGGATGGCCAGCCGAGAATGTTTTAGGTCAATTGATGACCTTGTCTCTCCACTCGTCGTATCTTGATGTTGTAAATATGTCATATTTACCTTTCAGCCATATTGGGCAATGTGTCTATCTACTCAGGTAACCCAGAGAAGCTATACTTTGTCTCTACACAAAGCCATTAGCCAGCTTCCTCTCTCCACATGTTGGAGAAATGTTGGAGAAATTTTTCTAGTCGTAAGTCACGTTGTGGAGGAGATTGTGCTGAGTGATGCCTTGGCAGCGGTGTCACGACCCTTCCAGTGTGTGTCGGCGGTGTCGGATCTTGGTTTCTCTGGGGGGTTGGGGGGGTTCTCCAGGTGAGAGTCCACTTCCCCTGAGGACACTTCTTTCATCTACACACACTTCTCTGGCATCTGTACCTCTGTACATCCGAGTAAACCCACTTCTCCCGAGGAGACATTCCTTTCTCTCTATCACACACACACACACACACACACACACACACACACACACACACACACACACACACACACACACACACACACACACACACACACCTTTCCTGTTGATTGACGGTTGAGAGGCGGGACCAAAGAGCCAGAGCTCAACCCCCGCAAACACAACTAGGTGAGTACACACACACACACACACACACACACACACACACACACACACACATATACATACATACACACAAGGAAGGTGAGGAGGGGGCGGTGACATACGCACGCACGCTCGCCTAAGCTTAACATCATGACTTAGTCATTCACACCTAAACATTCTCACTAAAGTTAATTTTACTCATCGGAAACGTTCCCGGCAGATTTTTGTTTAGCGATTACTGTTTGTGAGTCTGGGGCCCAGAGCACGGCTCCGAGTGAGGTGAAGGGCTCAAGTGTAACACACTGACTGCTGTTTTGGGGAAGGTGGTGGTGGCGAGCCGTGGAGTGCAATGTTAGTAGTGGTGGCCGCTTCCTGCTTGTCACTCCAGCTACTGCTGTCACCCTTACTACTGTCACCCCCTACTGCTGCTTCACCACTCTATTGTTACCTTCTTCCTCTACGCCTGTCACCCTGGTGTCGGAAACCGCGTCCTGATCAATAGCAAATCAACCCATGCAACCAAGACTGTGATGCTAATGTTCTTCTAACCCATAGCAACTCTTACGTCTTATATCTACACGACGGGCGTCTTATTAAGCTTCATTTCTTGGTGCGCTAAAGCCCTGAGAAAATGTATTGTAAAGAGCTTCAGTAATGACTGGGTATTAAAGCCACCACAAGGAGAGCTCCTCGGCCACCACCTGATGCCTACGATCGCCGCAGCCGCTCACCAGCGATATAACAACGGTATATTGCAGACGATTGCCGCTATTCTCGCCTGGGTCGCAAGTGTTATTGCCTTGCTAATGCATTGCTAGACTTGTAAGATCATTGCTAAAAATGCTCAGTATAAGTTATAATCAAATGTATTCAATTTGAGTTTTGTGTGTTATGTGTCCAGTCGGGTGTGTGTGTGTGTTGTGGTCACGTGTCCAGCCGGATAGTCACGTGTCCAGCCGGGTGTGCAGGGGAAGACACATAATCTCCTGGGTCCCGGTTATCAGTACTCGGACGTCTGACACAAGCAATGACTACTGCCCCGCTGGTGTTGCTGTTAACTAACACCCAAGCTGTGAACGAAGGCAGCTTGGCCTACGGGACCCATAACCTTCCCGCTGGCTACCCGAACACCGGACAAGCCGTCCCCTCCCTTCATCACTGTCACTCTCCTGTCTCTCTCTCTCTCTACCTCCCATGACGGGCAAATGAGCTCTTGATACCCAGTTTATTTACCTTTTTACCATGTAGATATACATTGTACAGGTTATGAATGTTGTGATGATAAATAAGAATTTATGATTTACTATATATGTATATATATATATATATATATATATATATATATATATATATATATATATATATATATATATATATATATTTTGTTAAAACAATGTATTGTATATCTAACTGAGGTCTATCTTGCTTCGCCCACAGACCCAACATGCCCGCGACACGGCCACCAACACACCTGCTGCTGCTCCTCCTGGGGTTCCTGGCCACGTTCACACAGGTGAGAAACCTTTCGCGAATCACGAGGCCTTCAAAAAGCCAGTCCCTGACGGCCGCCTCAAGACGCCACCTGCAAGGGAGTCTGGCTCCGTCCTATCCCAAATCCTTATCCTGACCCCTTCCCATTCCAAATCCTTATCCTGACCCCTTCCAAGGGCTATATAGTCGTAAGGGCTTGGCGCTTTACCCTCATAGTTCCCTTCCCTGGCCAAGGTTAAGCCTATATCTACACACAAAATTGTACTGTTTGTGCAATTTTGTACACAAACAGGACACATAGGCACAAGTTTGTGCCTGTGTCCTTGTTTGTATGTGTCGTCCTATGTGTCCTTGTTTGCATGTGTCGTCCCTTGTGTATCATTCGTGGTTCCAGTCGTCAGTGGCAAGACATTTTGCCTCTGTTTCTTTTATCATACCTGAGCCGGTCGGCCGAGCGGACAGCACGTTGGACTTGTGATCCTGTGGCCCTGGGTTCGATCCCGGGCGCCGGTGAGAAACAATGGGCAGAGTTTCTTTCACCCTATGCCCCTGTTACCTAGCAGTAAATAGGTACCTGGGTGTTAGTCAGCTGTCACGGGCTGCTTCCTGGGGGTGGAGGCCTGGTCGAGGACCGGGCCGCGGGGACACTAAAAAGCCCCGAAATCATCTCAAGATAACCTGTGCAAGCTCTGCCTGTGGCATCTTCAAGATATATTTTGTGTACAATATTAAGGTGGTCGGTGTTACACACACTAGCAAAGGAAGTGATCATATTGTTGCTGCAGGATAAATACCATTTGGTGCCGCAGATGCGATACATAAATGCTCATTACCTATATTGTCTCCTCCTTTTGTAGCCCTTCCCCATGGCCGTGTGTGTGTGTGTGTGTGTGTGTGTGTGTGTGTGTGTGTGTGTGTGTGTGTGTGTGTGTGTGTGTGTGTGTGTGTGTGTGTGTGTGTGTGTGTGTGTGTGTGTGTGTGTGTGTGTGTGTGTGTTGTGTGTGTGTGTGTGTGTGTGTGTGTGTGTGTGTGTGTGTTGTGTGTGTGTGTGTGTGTGTGTGTGTGTGTGTGTGGATGGGAGAGTCCGCATTAACGTTCACGACTTTCACTCCTCTTAGATTTCATCTGTGACACTCGCGCATTCCCCCCCCCTCCCCCACCTAACCTCCTTCATGTACACCTCTTTCTCCCTCTCCTTCCCTACCTTCCTGCCTTCTCACCTCCCTGCTACTCTCCCTCCCTGTCCCATGTAACCATCTCCCCCCACCCCCGGTCTCCTACCCTCCCCCTCGTGAAGAGAACATAAACTGGGTGGCTCCGGCAGACTCCCCCTAATCTTGGACGGCTGGAGGACCTTGCAGGACCGGATATCACCTCTCCTCATGAATATCCAGACTTTCTCTTTTGGTCGACTCACTCTGGCCACCTGGGGGTATGGGTAGCGGCCGGGATAGGGAGGATGGATAGTGGTATGTTGGGGGGAGGAAAGATGTGTACGCGGGAGGGGGATAGATGGGTGAAGTAAGAGCAGCAGTAGCAACAGCAGCAGCAGCAGGAGGAGGGTAGAGGCGGTAGTGACAAGAACAGATGATGGGATCATCAGGAGGCGTGGGTGAGATCTCGGGAAACAATGTAACAGTTGTGCGAAACTTTTTTCTCCCGTTCCTTGATGACAGCGAGGAGATTAACGAACACACACACACACAGTTGATTGACAGTTGAGAGGCGGGACCAAAGAGCCAAACCTCAACTCCCGCAAGCACAACTAGATGAGTACTCTCTCTCTCTCTCGACAAAGGAGTTCACTATGCCACATATTGTTTGATTACATTCAATAACACATTGAACATATCAGACGGGAGGGTTTCCATTTAGCGCAGTATTGATAAAACAACCAGTACCTCTATATTGTGAGCATTTGTGTACTGAAGGTGTATTGCATTCACCTAGTTGAATTCACCTAGTTGTGCTTGCGGGGGTTGAGCTCTGCTCTTTCGGCCCGCCTCTCAACTGTCAATCAACTGTTACTAACTACTAATTTTTTTTTTTACACACACACACACACACACACACACACACACACACACACACACACACACACACACACACACACACACACACACACACACACACACACACACACCCAGGAAGCAGCCCGTAGCAGGTGACTAACTCCCAGGTACCTATTTACTGCTAGGTAACAGGGGCATCAGGGTGAAGGAAACTCTGTCCATTTCTTTTTCCACCGGCTACCGGGATCGAACCGTGGTCCCTAGGTCCCCGAGTCTAGAGCGCTGTCCACTCAGCCAGCCAGCCAGCATTGTGTACTGGAGGCGGTACCCAGCGGTGCCCGGGTCTCTCTCCGTCTCTCCCTCCCCTCCCATTCCAATTCCCTCACTCCCATTCTCCCTACCACCCTCCACGTATGAACGTGTTCTCCACCTCCTCACCTCACAGGTGCTACACCTCTCACCTCACAGGTGCTACACCTCACCTCCCCTCACCTCACAGGTGCTACACCTCTCACCTCCCCTCACCTCACAGGTGCTACACCTCACCTCCCCTCACCTCACAGGTGCTACACCTCACCTCCCCTCACCTCACAGGTGCTACACCCCTCACCTCCCCTCACCTCACAGGTGCTACACCTCACCTCACAGGTGATACACCTCACCTCCCCTCACCTCACAGGTGATACACCTCACCTCCCCTCACCTCACAGGTGCTACACCTCACCTCCCCTCACCTCACAGGTGCTACACCTCACCTCCCCTCACCTCACAGGTGCTACACCTCACCTCCCCTCACCTCACAGGTGCTACACCTCACCTCACCTCACCTCACAGGTGATACACCTCACCTCACCTCACAGGTGATACACCTCACCTCACCTCACAGGTGCTACACCTCTCACCTCCCCTCACCTCACAGGTGCTACACCTCACCTCCCCTCACCTCACAGGTGCTACACCTCACCTCCCCTCACCTCACAGGTGCTACACCTCTCACCTCCCCTTACCTCACCTCACAGGTGCTACACCTCTCACCTCCCCTCACCTCACAGGTGCTACACCACTCACCTTCCCTCACCTCACATGTGCTACACCCCTCCCCTCCGCTCACCTCACAGGTGCTACACCTCTCACCTCCCCTCACCTCACAGGTGCTACACCCCTCCCCTCCCCTCACCTCACAGGTGCTACACCCCTCCCCTCCCCTCACCTCACAGGTGCTACACCCCTCCCCTCCCTTCACCTCACAGGTGCTACACCCCTCCCCTCCCCTCACCTCACAGGTGCTACACCCCTCCCCTCCCCTCACCTCACAGGTGCTACACCACTTACTTTCCAGTCTTATTGCATATGAGAATTATTACATGTCTAATGGGAATACACTGTCCTTGTCCACCTAGTCTACTACCCAGGTATCTTGTACGCTGTGATCATATGTTCTCTGCTGATATATATAAACTTATGCGCATCAATTTTTATTTTCATATCAATTATATAATAATAATAATTATTATTATTTATCATTATTATTTTACTAGATGAAGTAGGTCCCTGCAATAAGTTATCCTCCCACACTGTTGATAACCACAGTTGACATCTAGTGGGTGTGACCGCTAGGAGTGTGCGATCACCTGGAGTATACCTGTTGAGGGCCTCGAGAGTTCTTCTACTCCCAGAGCCCGGCCTGGGGCCAAGGCTCGAGTGGTGCACCTACACCAGGTGGAAAGGTCCTACACTCTATGTAAGAAGATGAACGAGTAAATATAGATGGTGATTCAAGTGGATCTGCGAGGCTCGTGAGCCAGGTGCCGTAACGGGCCGGCACCCCCACACACACACACTTGCCGGCAATCAACACCCGAATAACTGGACATTAGAACAGTCCCTGAGTGGGTGAAGGACTACCATATGGTGCCGGGGTAACTGTAGCGCACCCTCCTGTCTTGGCCGCCGACCACACAACGGGCGTCGAAGCTCACCATGGAGGTGGTGGAGGCCTGCACTACCTGCCTCCTCCATGGGTGGTGGAGGCATGCACTACCTGCCTCCTCCAGGGGTGGTGGAGACCTGCACTACCTGCCTCCTCCATGGGTGGTGGAGGCCTGCACTACCTGCCTCCTCCATGGGTGGTGGAGGCCTGCACTACCTGCCTCCTCCATGGGTGGTGGGGGCCTGCACTACCTGCCTCCTCCAGGGGTGGTGGAGACCTGCACTACCTGCCTCCTCCATGGGTGGTGGAGGCCTGCACTACCTGCCTCCTCCAGGGGTGGTGGAGGCCTGCACTACCTGCCTCCTGCAGGGAAGCAGTCAGCCTGCACTACCTGGCCATTTACCGATATCTTCCTCCTGGCGTGACAAGATAGTATTCCAAGCTGATCCTTGGCCTTGCGTGCTACGTCGGTCCCACACACTGCTTCTCTGATGATCTGCGGTTTCCTGTATATGTATTCTTCTCATTTATATATCTTGTGGCTAAATTCTTTCAAACCCCCCCCCCCCTCATAACCATCCACCACCACTAGTAACCAACCACTACCACCATCGGTAACCAGCAACCACCACACATCCCCGCTTTTGACTACCTTTCACCCGCTATGTGACATAAAGCTCGGTGGTGAGGAACGGGCGAGCCGCCGCTCTGGTGAACGGCGTCACCAGTGGTGTAGAGGGAAGGGGAAGATTACATCATGACTATACCGTCCTCCCGACACCATTCCTTTCCCTGCCTAATGTTCATGTGTTTTTGTCTCCATTGCTGCACAGATGAATTTGGATATCTCGTGGCTGTTTTGTGTGTTACGTCTCACACGCGCGCGCACACACTCCCGTGCTAAACAGTTTATTTTTATTGACAGGGTAGTAAAGATAAAGTGTTTAGCACTGGTGGGACACGAACAAGAAGACACAGGTGGAAACTGAGTACCCACATGAGCCACAGAGACGTTAGAAAGAACTTTTTCAGTGTCAAGAGTAGTTAATAGATGGAATGCATTAGGCAGTGATGTGGTGG